CTACCCTCTTCTGGGGGGGGGGGTGGGGGGGGGGGTAATAGGAGGCAGCCACCTATTATTTTGGCATGGTGATTCAGTGCTGATTTGGGGAAGGTTAAAAGGTTACATCATCCTAAAAACCCAAAATCCCTAAACCGTCATGATGGTTAAGGGTCTAGGGATATTAGGGATTAGGGTGTAGGGATCAGGGTTTCAGGGATTGGAGATGAGGGTTCAGCGTATGGGTTATATGCGCTTTACAGTTCAGAGTTTGACTTCGGGATTTTGGGGTTTAGGTAACCCCAGACCCTAGAGCCCGTAGGACCGCTGAACCATCTAACCATCTAACCCCGAAAACGAAAACCTACACTTTGGGTTTAGGCCTTTTAGGGTTTAGGGTTTAAGGTTCAGGGTTCAGGGTTTAAGGTTTAGGGTCTAAGGGTTTAGGCTTTACATGATTTAGACTTGAGGGTTTACGGTCTAGGAGGGGTTCGACGCACACACTCGCCTAAACCCTAAGCCCTAAACCCACCCTTGTATCCCTTGTCCGAGTATGTCCGAGTGTGAGCGTCAAACCGACCCTTAGCCGTAAAGCCTAAACTTTAAACCCCTCGACGCGAAACCCTATAAACCCTCAAAGCCCTCAACCCTAAACCGCAGACTCACAGGAGGGGCAAGGATGTATGTCCTCTCTGAAGAAGCGGCTGATGCATAAGCGCTTCCAGCATATGCAGCCAGAAGACGTAGACTTAGGACATGTAGGACTGAGCTGGGGGCTCTGGGGGGCAAGAGATGCAAGAGCGGAAAAAACAAACCGTCTCAGAATCGTTTATATGAGTACAGGATGCTGGGATGCAAGTGATGCAAAATATGCACAGACTGGGGCATGTGGAGTGCGTATACTGCGTATGACACCTTGCGCATGCCATACGTTGCACACCTTGCCAACGGTCAGCTTAGCCGACAATGCAGACGTTGAAGTACACAGAAGATGCGGAAGATACGGAAGACAGCATACACAGCGTAGACAGGTGGGGTACATGGGCATCATGGGCACAACTTTGGACCAAATCTGGTCTGTGACGTGATATGATAACTGCAAGTCATTTGTTCAACACTCCATGGATGTCATGGCTGCACCGGCTGCCTCAGGCCAGGACTTGCATGGACGGAGGGGTTTCATGATGTTTCATGAGTTCTAAATTAATGTTAGATATGCTTGTGATGCTGCAGCGTCACTACCGTAAACGGAGCCATTACAGCGTCCCTGCGAAACATCATCGTGTGTCTCTGACAATGTGGGACTTGTGCTTCCTGCCACCGGCAGGAAGCGCAAGTAGAGCAGGACAGAGCGCAAGTCGGCAGTTAAACTTCTAGGAACAAAGGGTTTGGAAGCAGGACTTGTGCTCCGTGAGGAGGACTTGTGCTTCCTGCCGCCGGCAGGAAGCGCAAGTCACACATATAGCTTGTCTTGACGTTGTGTTGTATGCGTTGTGGTTGGCACATGTGTGGATGCAAGTTTCGGGCCCTCGAATACGCATCCAGGCCTTTCC